CTGACACTATCTCCTCCTCTGCAAAATCATCTCCCATTTCCTGAGTAAGGTTGTGCAGGATGCAGAAAACTACAATTATCCTGGACACTCTGACAAATATTGAAGTGCTCCCCACCCTAAGTGTAGCAGAATAAATTTTTAACGATCATGTCATTTGCTGTATAATTGACTCTTTTGAGACACGTAAAGCATTGCAGTTCTCCTCGGCAATATTTTGCAGGTTCTGTACTAATGTTTCATCAGCCATCTGTGGGTATCCATTGTTACCTGTGAACCAGTCAGTGAGATGGAGCCAATGTCTGTATTACAGAGGAGGAGGTGCTTGACAGCTTAAAACGCATAAAGGTGGATAAATCCCTGGGACCTGATCAGCTGTACCCTAGAACTCTGTGGGAAGCTAGGGAAGTGATTGCTGGGCCCCTTGTAGAGATATTTATATTTGAGGTATTTAAATTCTATGGTCACAGTTTCAAAGGGGATCTTTTACTCTGATATCATTTGTTAAACTTGCCTCATTACACATCACTAGATGCAAAATAGCCTTATCTCTGTTTGGATCCACAACATATTGTTCTGGGAAACTGTCCTGAATACCCTCTATGAATTCTTCCTCATGGCTTCTTCTGCTAATCGTATGTTTACTATTTTCCCAAACATTGTTTGGTCTCAAATGTGAAAGAACAATAACCATCAATAAATTACAAGGGCTGAATGAGAAGAAGAGTGAGTAGGCAAACACATGGCAGGTGGAGCTTAATACAGGAGAGTGTGAGGTCGTGCACGTTAGTAGGAAGAATCAAAAGGCAACCTAATACTTAAATGGAGAGAGATCCTCTTGTGCATGAAACATAAAGAAATGTGCAGGTGCATCAAATAGTTAAGAAGGCATGTGGAATTTTGGTCTTTATTGCTCAGGGATTGGAGTTAAAAATAGAGAATCCTTGTTACAACTGCACCGCATGTTGTTGAGGCCAAACCTGGAGTACTGTGTACATTCTTTGTCTCCATATCTAAGAAACCATGTACTGGTACAAGAAGCAGTTGAAAGAGATTCGCTAGACTGTTTCCTGATGATGGTTTGACTTATCAGGAATGGCTAAACAGGTTAGGCCTTTATTCATTAAAGTTCGGAAGTGTGAGGGATGATCTTATTGAAGCATTCAATATTCTGAGGGATCTTGACAGGGTAGATGTTGAGAAAATGTTTCCACTGGTAGGGATTTTTGAATGAGTGGACGTAGTTACAGAATTATGGGACACTCATTTAAAATGGAGATGTGAAGGAATTTTGTCTTGTTGAGGGTAGTGAATGCACAGAATTCTCTACTCCAGAGAGTTGTGGAGGCTAGATCATTGAAAATATTTGAAGAGGAGTAGATAGTTCTTTGAAAAATTGGAGAGTTTAGAACTCTGAGGAGATGGCCTAAAAGAGGAGTTAAGGCCTGAGACAGATCAATCATGTTCTAGTTGAATGATATGGTAGACTTGAGGTGTCAAAAGGCTCCTATTTCTTATCTTCTTAATGCTAGAACTCTTTCTCAATACAGCTCAGGAAGAAAGAAGTAAAGGAAGAAATCATAGGAAGAACAACATTAAAGCTGTATGAAGTATTATACTGAGATACTGTTATGGAAGGCCGCTCAGTGAATTGCTGTTGAATTTGCTGTATATTGATGTGGTTACATGGTAGTTGTTAATTCCAATCTGGAAGAACAGGCTGGCTGGTGTACAGATAAAGGAAGTATCAAAAATAGCATACAAATTATGTTGTCAAAAATGAGCACCGAAGTAAAAATGCGGTAGTAATAACTGGTATAAAATGTTGATGTGAGGAAAGACAGTTTAAAAGGATGCCTGTCTTTGGAAGTGTATGTGCTCATCATGTAATCTATCATTAAACATGTCAGTTTCAGATGTTATCCACCTCTAATTGATCACTGATATTCAGTCTTTTTTTATGGTGTAATAAAGTGTTAAAAAGGGAAGTGTACTCACCCAAATTGCCCTAAAGTCTTAAATACTTTAGATAAAAATATCTTTAAACCCACTGGTGCCACTTAGTCCTGTATTTCAAAATTACTGGTCAGAGACTGCATTGCAACAGACAATTTGTAAAGAATTACCCCATTCATGATATCATTGGTGTGGAACTTAATGATGTCACTGCAGGGAAAACTTATGAATGTCCATTCCCAGGTTACAACTGATTTAAAACGGATGCAACATTGGAACAAGGGAAGAATTATAAATTGTTTGCTTTGGCACTCAAAGCTTAAAGAGGATGGACATCTGCCTAGTACTAGCCTCCATTCTTAGAGTAAACCCAGCCAAATTCAGAATCCAAGTTAGTCCCAGCATAAAATAAACTATTTTCTGCATATATCTCATGTCGATATTAATTCAGAATATTTATATTTTAAAAATTATCTGTCACATTAAGTCAATTACCCTCCACTTCCCGAATTGAGGACTTGAGTTGATCACCAGGATGCATGTCTTTATCATGATCACTTTTCAGTTGATCTATAGGAGGTAAGCCAAAATAGCCTGATGTAACTCCTTCCGATTTCACCTCTTTTGGGTGACTTCCCACATCTCCAGCTATGGTATAGACAGATCAAGTTAATGTAGGAAATAGCAGAAGTGCAGAAAATCTCCTTTCACCACATAAACAACAATACAGGGTAGTTAGTCTGCAGATTTACATTTGCATCTGATTGTTTTGATGACCGTATATAATTACTTCTTCTCTGCCTAATTATCTGGCCCTCCTCTAGTGGACACAGGTTACTTGCTTGACCATGCTTTCCACAGCCATCTGTTATTCTGCAGTACTTCACCTAAGTACTCATTTGAGAGTTGATGATGAGTGACACTAGTTTATCTAAACATATGGGGGCATTACAACTGACCCTGATCTTACCTTCATATAATATCAATATAAATAACATCCCAGGAAGTGACCCTAGTTAAACACTGTAATGGACATCATGTAACCTCATCTATGAGTTGATCAAACAAACTTGATGGGAGTATCCCAATATTCTGCCCTTATTGTTTCAGGTTAAAGCCATCAAATACTATCATTGTTTCTTTGATGACCCAGAAGGTAAATGCAGTGCACGATATAAATCATGGAGGTCCCATGATCACTGCAAAGTCAAGGCATTGGTTTAAATGACACAGTCAGTCATCGCAGTCTTGGATATTGACTGACTAACAACCTATATTGTAAAGACTGGGTGTGCACTTATCAAATGAGAATTGAACTTCGCTGAGCTATAATGCCCCCAGTGTCAAATAATCTGCAACATTCATTGTCTCAGCTTACAATGAGCAATGGCCACTCCGGAAGTAACTAAAGCACATGGAAACACACAGTAAAACCTAATGCCTGTGGTTAAGAAATTTTGAGGTAAAACTTAATTTCAAAAAATGCATTTGTAAGAGAATATATTTTTAACAAGAATTTCTTGCCTAAGGACAATAGCTCAATTCCTCTATGACCTGATTGTAACTCAATTGTTCTCATTTGCTTGTATAAAGATAATACAAGCTGATCAAATCACCAATTTATATACATAAGTAATGAATGTATATATCCTGTTAAATAGACCTTTGAGGGAGGATTATTTTTCATCTTTAGTAAGTAGTTTCTTACTTTATGACTCATCTCACTTGCCAAATTTTTATTTTCTCTTTACAATTGAGGTGTGTTTATGATAAAATTGACCTTGAGGTCACTAAAATTTCTGTTTCTTTTCTGACTCAGACCAGTTCACACAAACACAACTTGACTACCAAATGCTGATCATAAATGCTTTTATTGTAATTGCCATCTTCCATTTTATGAAGAAATTCTATAATGCAAAAAGGACCGTCTGAAGTCTCGTTCAAAAGAAAAAGGGATTCATCATTTTTACTGAGGCTATATACTTTTTTAAATTTATTGTCCACACTCAGCTCTTGTGGAAATTTCTTACATCCAGGAGACATCTAAATGGACATGGTCAGTACCACATTTTGACCAGAAAGGAGCTGCCATTGTTTACTTTAGTAAATTTCATTTGAACACAGATGAGATTAGAGGGATTGTTGTGTTTCCTTCAAAATATTTCTTCTGCAGCTTTCATGGATACAATCTTATATATTTCAAATAACGAGAGAAAAGCAAAGGATAAATAGACATAGGAAGTTATTC